TGAGAACCTGTGAGGCGTCTGTTGCTTGGACTAGACACTAATGTATTTGGCCTTTTGCTCACGGCCTCCCACTCCTTTCTCTCTATTCTGTTTGTGTCAGTGCAGAAATTGGAAAGTTATGACTGGTCAACCTCCTGATTTAACCCAATTAAAAATGCTTTTCATTAGTGGAAGATGATGAAAGGCTGAACTACCTCAAAACAAACAGCTGGAGATGACTACAGTCCGGGTCAGGCAGAGCACCACCAGAGAACCTACCCAGTGTCTGGCGGAGCAGACCTACCCAATGTCTGGCGGGGCAGACCTACCCAATGTCTGGCGGGCAGACCTACCCAATGGCAGACCTGCCCAGTGTCTGGCGGAGCAGACCTGCCCAATGTCTGGCGGGGCAGACCTACCCAGTGTCTGGCGGGGCAGACCTGCCCAGTGTCTGGCGGGGCAGACCTACCCAGTTTCTGGCGGGGCAGACCTGCACAGGTTCTGGTGTGGCAAACCTACCCAGGGTAAAGTGGAGGTTATACCCAATAAACTGGCCAGTGATCTAAATCTGTGTTGAGTCAATGCACTGCAAAGACCAATAATCTGAATGATAATAATTTGTTTCAGATATTGCTATTTGTCATTCACCAGACAGACGTTTCAAAACGTAATTCCCCATTGGAGTCCCAACCCAGTAAATACACATGCTCATGACATTAAAACCCAACGGGTTTTAGGTAACCGCAGTTTCTCAGGAACTCTCAATTTTACGTCTCTCGCTTGCTCACTTGATCACTCGCTCACTCGCTCAGTCGCTTATTCCAGGCCTTTGCCGTGTTCCTTTTGGACACCATGAAACGAGTACAATTGGACCGTGGCCCCACAGCGTATCCCCGTCGGCAACAAACCCTGGTCCCGGCGCCTGTGCGTTGTCGTAATCTTCATGGTCAGAGCAGGTTAATTTGACTAGACCGTACTGCCTGTTGGGAGAACTCAATTTGCATGTTTTGTCTTTTCATGTTTTGTTTATTGAATTAGACCTGGTCATGTGAGGTTAGGCTGGGTAAGACACGGCAGCACGTTGAAGGGAACACAAGTTGTGGACCGTCATAGATCAAAATCTGAGGTTTTCCTTGAGCAAGGGGAGACTTCGTTTTCCATTGCGCAACCACATGACGGTAAATTAATTGACCCTCTGCCAGCACTGCATCTTGGGAATTCTGAATATTATCTGCTCAGTTGCAAAAGTGTTTGTCTCTTTTGTCTTGTTGAGAACACATCAGACAATTTGTTCTAAGCAGGCGCAAACTGAATGGCATGCCTTTTACAAGACAATGTACAAAGATTTGTATTCGTATCTGATTCGTATCTATCCGAAAACATGCCCAAGACAATTATTTTGAAAACGCGGGAACGATATGTTAAAATGTGGTTTTCAACGACCTTCTAAATCGTTTATACCCAACCTCAAAAAATAGATTTCACCACAGTAATGGGAAATATTATATATAAACTTGACTTTGATGAAATTAGTACAAATATGTTGTTCCATAATAGCTCCTCTGATCTTCCCAGACACATCAAAGGAAAACTTCCTGTCCCATGTTGCTTCGCTTTAAAACTGTAAAGTCTGTTGTTTCTACACTACTGGGAACCGACTATTTCTGTGTCTCCGATTAAAATCTGCTTTTGATGCTAAAACATACAATAAAGCATTGACGATCTAGCGTTACATATTCAACCCAAAACACTACCCAGATTTATGAAATATAACAAAAAAAATATCTATGTGTGATTAAGTACACATTTCCAATATCCTGGTAGCAGAAACACACGTAATAAACCATGTTTACAGAAGATCTTATACAAAATGTCATGTCTATATTTAGCCAACCGCAGTAGGGGGCTGCTTTTGATGGGTCAGGCATTTACATTACAGTTAACATTCTGATGAAATAGATCTGCCGTCTCATCTAGTCTAAACTAAGATGCATCACGTCTGGTACGTAGTATTTGCGTGACTGAATGATTGACGGCTGTTGTGATTCGAAAATGTCCAACCCAAAAGCCTTGTAGATCGTACAACTTCGTAGTGATCCCGGACAACATGTTGTTGTTTCGGAGCATTATAAACACCTGTGCATAAGTCACCTCCGTTGTTAACATATGACACACTGTCAAAAGTCTACTCAATATTCGGGTCCGATTTACTGTTAACGGTTTAATTTATAAATGTATATTGTGGAAAAAGTGTTCGCAATTTAACTAATAACCTGTTGGTATAACAGTTGATCATTTCAGATTTATTCTTATATTCTTGGAACAACCTATCAGCTCTCGTACGTCAGCTCTCGTACGTCAGCTCTCGTACGTCAGCTCTCGTAAGTCAGCTCTCGTACGTCAGCTCTCGTACGTCAGCTCTCGTACGTCACCTCTCGTACGTCACCTCTCGTACGTCACCTCTCGTACGTCACCTCTCGTACGTCAGCTCTCGTACGTCAGCTCTCGTACGTCAGCTCTCGTACATCACCTCATACATCAGCTCTCATACATCAGCTCTCGTACATCACCTCTCATACATCAGCTCTCATACGTCAGCTCTCATACGTCAGCTCTCATACATCAGCTCTCGTACATCACCTCTCATACATCAGCTCTCGTACATCACCTCTCATACATCAGCTCTCGTACATCAGCTCTCATACATCAGCTCTCGTACATCACCTCTCATACATCAGCTCTCATACATCAGCTCCCGTACATCACCTCTCATACATCAGCTCTCATACATCAGCTCTCATACATTGGCTCACATATATCAGCTGGGACCGTTACTCTATGCGTTTTTCTGCTCTAGTCCGCTGTACCAGTAAAGAACGTACTCCCATTCACCTGTACAATCAGGTTACAGGAACTCCCTGCTGCTAAAAGGACAGTTCTCATAATGGTTTAGGATGTCTGGTCTTATGAAAATAGATGGCGACGAGAGCCTTGCACAGCTGACACATTACTGTCCCTGAACACAGATACAGGAAAACAGTAATGTATCAAACATACAGACTGAAGATAACCTCCAATAAAATAATCAATGAATAAGAATTCAATGATGAATTATTTCCAACAATATAATCAGAACTGATCCGGTTAGAATTATCTTCAATATTTCTCAGTGGCATACTGCAGAGATTTCAATGGTCCACGAAGAGAAAACCAACCAAAAACCCTTTGAAGGCATTATATGCTTAGGAAGAAACCTACAGAGGACCCAGACTCTGCGGGGTGGCCAGTGCTCTTGTGGCTGGCAGTGAAGATTATAAAAGTACCTAAACCTTGGGCCAGATCAATGATTTTTAACCAGATGGACATGGACCGAGACAATGTTCAAGAGATTAAAGCAAAATATATATATATTTTTAGGACTTTTTTCATTAAATACATTGCTTTACAAATTCATATACATAGGTATTCTTTCAAGACTCTCTAGGAATTTAAATCAGCAGACAATCATTATACATATTGAGATGATTGAAAAGTAACTTGAAATGAATTGAATGTCAAAAAGACTGCATGAGGCCCAGTATTTATTTGGTAATTGAGTAATTAAAAAAACTGTTAGTAAATTATATATAATAAATAGATTATATTTAATATACACATTAACTGTGTAATTGTCTAAGAGAGATGTTTGACATCAGTGTTTGTGTTGGTAAATTTATTCTGGTCTGGCTGCATCTGTGTGCATATTCTCTCCATGGCCTCTCTGGCTTTGTCTGGGAGATGTTTGTTTAAAAGATGCCACTGTGTTTTGTGGAGTCTGTGGACGTATAAACACTCCCGGGCGTCCTGTCAGTCCTTTTAGGCTCAGGTCTTCATCAGAGGAAGGGGTGGCACCCTGGGCATGTCAATGCTGGCCCATTTAAAATTCCACCAGAATATGTCCCACCTAAGATGCTCTACAAGGCATAAACATACAGTTTAATGGTGTGTTCAGTTTCTATTAAAGATAATTACTATAACAAAATCTATTGTATTTACATTATCATCACAAAACATAGAAAATCGCATTTGGATAAAAATGTTGCAAGACTTGACATTTCTGAAAATTAGCTTAAACGTTTTTTTATGGACTCTTAAATATAACCGAATTATGCTGTTGGCGTATTTTACTCAATAAACGATAGTAATTGTCCATGCTCGGACCAGATCATATTGTATGGTTTCACAGGATCTCGTAGACCAGTGCCTAAGGCCAATGTCATTAGATAACAGCTAAAAGCAGTTAACTCAATGACAGAACCATATGTCGCTAAGTGCTTTAACACAACCCAACGACCACGAGGTGACCAATTGGTACCATTTAATGCATTAGAGTTTAGAAAATGAATTCTTAAAAGGTTAAAGGTAAACAGATTGCGGCGGAGGTAAAACAGACCTACCTAAATGTTATTACATGTTTGGCAGCGCGACTAATTCACTTTGCGTGTTTATTTGCTTGATGATGATGAGTTATGCCTGAACCGCGCGGAATTAGCGGGCAATGGAAAAACACCCCTTATGGAAACAGGAGCAGGTGCCCTTATCATTTCAAACTACTATACCACACTCTCCGCAGGCCTGGATATATAGGATAATGAAACAAACAAATGAACAGGCAGACATTTGGGCAGGCAGGCAGCCTGGAGTGTGTGTATTCAACATTTGACACTAGTATGTACTACACTTGGTGAACATTTCACTGTACCTGATGAAACGCGTACGACTAAGCACAATAACCGTCTGCCATCAAAGTGAGTCAATGGCACACGACACAGACACCCATTACCTCTCCTTCACCGTTAGCGACCTGGAAGTGAATCAGGCTAAACGACACTTCTCAAAACTGCCCACATTAAGTCTGCGAAGTATCACATTCACAAGTAGGACGTACACTAAAAGTGTTTTATCTTTACGGAACGCAGGTGAGCAAATCTTACATTTATTTACAAAAACATTAACAAATTATTATATGCAACAGCGACCCGGGGATAAGGTGGGGTTTGAATCCAAGACATCAAACATACAAAGCATGCACTCTACCACTGAGTTACACCAACTGCTCCAATAGGAACCCAGGACATCAAACATACAAAGCATGCACTCTACCACTGAGCTACCAACTCCTCCAATAGGAACCCAGGACATCAAACATACAAAGCATGCACTCTACCACTGAGATACCAACTCCTCCAATAGGAACCCAGGACATCAAACATACAAAGCATGCACTCTACCACTGAGCTACACCAACTGCTCCAATAGGAACCCAGGACATCAAACATACAAAGCATGCACTCTACCACTGAGATACCAACTCCTCCAATAGGAACCCAGGACATCAAACATACAAAGCATGCACTCTACCACTGAGATACCAACTCCTCCAATAGGAACCCAGGACATCAAACATACAAAGCATGCACTCTACCACTGAGATACCAACTCCTCCAATAGGAACCCAGGACATCAAACATACAAAGCATGCACTCTACCACTGAGATACCAACTCCTCCAATAGGAACCCAGGACATCAAACATACAAAGCATGCACTCTACCACTGAGCTACACCAACTGCTCCAATAGGAACCCAGGACACCAAACATACAAAGCATGCACTCTACCACTGAGCTACACCAACTGCTCCAATAGGAACCCAGTACATCATACACATATGCACTCTACCACTGAGATACCAACTCCTCCAATAGGAACCCAGGACATCAAACATACAAAGCATGCACTCTACCACTGAGCTACACCAACTGCTCCAATAGGAACCCAGGACATCAAACATACAAAGCATGCACTCTACCACTGAGATACCAACTCCTCCAATAGGAACCCAGGACATCATACATACAGAGCATGCACTCTACCACTGAGCTACCAACTCCTCCAATAGGAACCCAGGACATCAAACATACAAAGCATGCACTCTACCACTGAGATACCAACTCCTCCAATAGGAACCCAGGACATCAAACATACAAAGCATGCACTCTACCACTGAGCTACACCAACTGCTCCAATAGGAACCCAGGACATCAAACATACAAAGCATGCACTCTACCACTGAGCTACACCAACTGCTCCAATATTACTCAATAGTATTTTCCCAATGGTTTCACGTAAACTTTGCAGCTTCATAAAAAACATCCCAAAACAAAATACATGCTTTTAGTCAATAAGAGCTTTCTAAGAGCCCAGATATGATCTTATCTGAATCCAATAACACATTAAACATTAAATTGAATCCAATGGTCATATTTCCAGCAAACAATACTCTATGCTCTTCTTCGCTTTGTTTAGCATCTAGAACACCAGACCACAACCATTACAAATGACCTAGAACCATCACAACACAACAATTACAACTGACCTACAACCATCACAAAACCACCATTACAAATAGACTAGAACCATTACAACACAGCCATTACAAATGACCTACAACCAGTACAACACAACCATTACAGATGACCGACAACCATCAGAACACAACCATTAAAACTGACCTACAACCATCAGAACACAACCATTATTAATGACTTACAACCGTCATAACACAACTATTATGAATGACCTAGAACCATCATAACACAACCATTATAAATTACCTAGAACCATCACAACACAGCCATTATAAATGACCTAGAACCATCACAACACAGCCATTATAAATGACCTAGAACCATCACAACACAACCATTATAAATGACCTAGAACCATCACAACACAACCATTATAAATGACCTAGAACCATCATAACACAGCTATAATAAATTGCTTATAAGTATCACAATACAGTCTTTACAACCTGTTCCAAAAATGGTTTGGTGTTGGCCAATAACAAAGGTGATTTGTGCGGATACAATGTCCCACATGTAGTAAAGCACAAAGAGACAGGAACATAGGATTGAAGATTCCTGGATATTGGATATCCCCCAGAGCCCGGTGAAGTAAATTATTAAAGAAATTGAGAGAATATGGCACAAATGTAAACCTGTGTAAACAGGCCGTCCCCAATAACATAGTATAGTCAGGGAGGGCACTAGTGATCTCTTGTAAGGTCGAAATACTTTTGAGTGGCACTCTATATACAGAACATCCCAATGATACCAAGGCCAACCAAACCAAATAAATCCTTACACCAGCAAATGTTTGACTGGCCAGACCATAAGTGTAGGATCTACTGATGGACACATTTCATATAAAACGGTTACACTCAGAGATCTGGCTCACTCTCTCTTTTCTCGTTGAGCAATGATGTGAAATATACAGCGACAAGATAATTACATTACATTAATGTCAGACTTGGAGCCAGACTCCTATCAATGGAGCGCGGACAAAAGCTAATGCCCCTTTGTTGTTGGACCAATCAGATCACTAGTAAAAAGATTCTCACCTGGAAATATCTGATGTGTTAGTCACAATACCAATTACAGGATTTTGGTGTAAGCAGATGTGCATTTCTTTGAAACAGGCCTTTCATATCGCCTCACTGTTCTCACTGTCCCTTTTCTCCGCGGGCTCAGTCCAGACTGTCTGATATAATTATTACTCTTCCACCAATTGGAAGTCAACCAACAGGAAGTCGGTGTACAAACCTTTTCATTAAGCCTGTGGTCCTCAGCAGACAGCCATGTCCTGTAAACTACCCTATTTAGACCACGTTCTGCATCTCAGCCATCTTGACTTCTATGTGTCAGCTTGTTTGTTTTCTCCAACACGTTCTTATTAGAAATGTATGAGGATTCCTACCCAGTGGTCACCACTTGTAGAGGTAGAAATAAGAATAAAAACACAACAGAAATAATCACTAAAGACATAATGGACTATACGTGCTGTATACAAACACTTTACTGTAAGGTCCCAGGAAAATAGGGTATTGACTGCACAAATTGGCAACTGACACAGAGGGATGGGACAGCCAAGAGCCCATGTGTCAGAACCCAGGGCATGGGTTGGGATGTAGAGTTTGAGTCTGAAGGTATGGAGAAGCATGAACTGAAGTAGACAAAAGCTCCCGCTCCAGAACGTCAAAAATACACACCACCTGGGAGTAGACTGGTCCGGTTGGCTTCTGGGCTCAGTTCTGATAGACCAAATGTGTTCATGTAATATCCAGTAGCGGACAACTAGGTTCACGCTCATTGAAGAGGCTATAATAAATGACATCAGTAGTAAAGTATTCTGGTTCAACTTCTGTTTAATGTGCGCCCTGACTTCCTCATACTGACAGGTGGGTAACCTGCGACATCTCAGACGCACGGGTACCTCATTGGTCTATGGGATCTCGTGCAGTATAACATCCAGGAGCGGGTAAGAAGCTGACCAATGACGAAGCAGAGAATGCCCATGGTTTTTCTTGGAGGGGGAGAAAGTGCACTGCAAAGACTATTTATGTTCTGATGTAGTGTGTGACTATATCTATTAATTTGCTTACGCTTTTGTAATTCTCTGCACCTATTTTGGTGCCCCTGATTAAAATTATCTAGCGATATTTTTTTTATCTAGCGATATTTGATTATATTTAAAACCTTTTTTCTAAACCATCTTTCTAAATTAGTTTAATCAGGAAAATGTTGAAATAAAAAAGTTAACATTTGTGTTTTGAAATAAGTATGTCTCAGCCCAGGGAGAATTTCTGCATGCTCTATTTGCATCAATATAGAGAAAGAATAAATTATGATTTTCTATTTATTTCGTAGTTCGTATTATTATTTCTGTAGCAATTTTCTTAAAGTTTTCACATTAATGTCCGAATTCAGAAAAACATTTGCATTCGTATTGGTTTAGTCTAAAACACATGATATATTGCAAATGAACTTTTAACAAAATACGATTAGCTCTATTTCAAAATATCAATATAAAACGTCCAAATGCAATACCACGTTGAACAAAAAGACTGCTGTCCAGCCAAAACGTGCTGTTATTCAGTCTTACAAATCATTAAGTCAGTGTTATCATAAACAACTTCGATTGAAACAAATGATTTAAAAATACAATATTTATGTTAACGTTTTGAGTGTTCTGAGAAATTAAAAGGTGTCCACTGAAAAGCTTAATGTCCCATTGATTCCTATGTTCATATACACGGTATGTCTGGACACATATTTTGATTGGCAGCTATGCCATTTAAAATCAATACATATTCGCCAATTAAATTTGGTCAATATTTAAATATTAGTAATAGGCCAAGCAGAAGATAAACACAATGTTTTGAAAACTTGCCAAACCGACCAAACCACTTCGGAGATATTGTGACGGCTCATATGATACATCAATTCATGTGACCCAGAGAATATAAACAGTTATTGTCTAGATCACATTTCTATATTATACTTTTGTTAAGTGACATGTGTACCGGTGGAAAAAATACTATTAGTATAATAGAGGGAGAGAGAGGGAGAGAGGGGGGAGAGGGGGGGAAGGAGAGAGAGAGAGAGTGAGGGAGATGGGGAGAGAGAGAGCAGAGGGAGAGAGGGAGGAAGGATAGAGAGAGAGAGAGGGAGAGAGAGGGAGAGACAGAGAGAGAGGGAGAGAGAATGAGAGAGGGGGAGATAGAGAGGGAGTGAGAGAGAGAGAGAGAGAGGGCAGAGGCAGCACAAGAGAGAAAGTGGGCGAGAACGGTTAAAGCAGCGCGGAGACGCATCAGATAGAACTTTACTTTGATCTGTCAGACACACGCAATTATTACATTGGGATATCAGAGGTAGGACGCGCTTTACTGTTTATGCATCATCGCTGGGTGACTGTTGGGACGCACTGAACCAACGAAACGAGAGCCGTCCACCGTAACACCGGAGGTTGGTTCATTAAATCATTACGCACGCCGCTTGCAAATGCACACTAATCTGGATACAGAATGACATAAAGATACATTCGGGAAACTAAACACAACATACTTAAACATTTTGAAATGTTGACTTACAAGAGTTTCATACTTTTGAGAATTTATAGGAACTTCGCGGATAAGCGACAAGAGAAAAACGAAACGTTTCGTGGAAATTACTCAATGGCATGGCTCCTAACACCTATCTGAAAAGGATCTCT